CTGTTTTCTTCTCTTCCTATCCAAATGATGGTTGCCTCTTAATTGATAAGATGTTTTATAGAGTAGCTTTTGGTTGTTCCACTATTTTCTTTGCATTTTAAGAAGCCATTAAAGAGATGGTAAAATTCTAAGTGAATTGAATTATATTTGTGCAATTTCATACACTAATCCATTCATGCTAGGGATGGGATGGTAATTTAGAGCCCATTTAGATTTTTGAATGAAGAAAAAGGCTAATTTCTGCCTTGTTAACTTATCCTGTGAATCTTCAATTTGACCAATTCTGAGTGACTACTCTAACATGAGTTTAATTGTTTGGTTAATAGGTAGTTATAATTCACATTTATAACCATTTTTTAGAAGAGAAAATGTAGGCCACAAATCCTGCCACTTTTTATAACCAGCAAATATATGGTATTTCAGGAAAAAATGTCCTTAAGCTGTTACTGCCTTGGCTGATGATACCGCAAAATAGAGGGGTCATCACTTTTAGTTGTTAATTTTGCTTTATAACAAAATTTAACAAATGCATTTATAAGTCTCATACTGAAAAATGGAAATTAACATTTTATAACATTGAGAAGTTATCTGTTAAAAGCATTTTTTCAGTTGAATTTCATCTGAGAAAGTCAGTTAATTATATCAGAATATATTTTAAACCCATAGATTTAGACATTTTGTTAGTATGTTATAATTTGAGAATTTAGCAATTTTAAAAACTTGTTTCCCAAAATAATAAAAATGTTTATATAATCAAGTAAATGCAAGAGATTCTTACTAAATAAATGCTATAAAATAAATTTATCACCTTTGCCCTTTCCTTTTCATATGAGTACTGTACTTTGGGTCATATAATCACTGGGTACAAGGAACTTGCATTTGCCATACCACGTTAGCTGGAAATTAACTTTACTTGAAATAACCTGAAATAATTAATTCAGTCACAAATAGGCATTGTGGACTGGCAAAGTGATTTTTCAGATTAAATAAAATCCTAACACAGCCTTCCTTATATTCCCCTTCAGTTATTTCTATAATTTCTAAAATGTATCTCTTCTAGTCCTAATATATTCATTAGTTTAATCAGCTATTCACTTATTCCAATTTTTTTTTTTTTTTTTTTTTGGTGGGGGAAAGGATGTCTGCAATTAATCAGAGTTAGTATTTCAAGATGTTTTCTATATATATTATGTCCTATCATTGAGGAGGTTTAAAAATTGTTCTTGCGTCTGTGTTTCATCAAGCAAATTAATAACAGTATCTAACTTTATGTTAAGATGTTGATAAACTTACTAGCTTCAAGGCTAGAGGGAATTTTTTTTTTCCTCTATGTTGTAGTATTAGCCTGAAGGAATAAATAAGGATACATATTTTTAAAAATTACTACTTAGTTTTGCTCTTAGTGGTGAGAACTTCTACTGTCTCCATTTTTTATGTAATCATTTTTCAGGATACTGCTTAATATATGTGGGTGAATAACTCAGTCAATTAACGTAGGTTTTCACAGTATGGGCACAGGAAATATTAGTGACAAAGTCAGTTTTTGTCACTAATGTTTATGAATTAATGAATTCATTAATGAATTTTGCTGAAATTTTGTTGGCCTATCCTTATTTATGCTATAATCTAGTAAAGGCAGTGTCTATTGGCACAACATTTAATATTTAAGTGTTTACCTTTTATTGCTTGATATATTGTCTTGCTCTGCAGAGAACAACAGTCTTCTGGTTGTTCCGCCAACTGAATAATCACTAAGTGCTGGAAATTGGTTTTGTCTACCTGGTAGCAAGATGTTTGATGACTTAGTAAAACAGGAATGTAATTCAAGGTGAGATTTTGTTGCTTCATTTGAGGGAGGTTGGTCTGGTGATAATGAGGTGGGGTAAGTCCCAGATAGTAAAGAGTCAAGGTTTGCCTTAAAGGAACTTGTTTGTCCCTTGATATTTTTTCAGTGTTCTCAAAAGCACTTGTCAATCCAGTGAGCACAAAATGAAGAAAACATAACAAAAATCAGTTTGCCAAATGTGTCACACCTTATTTGCTTTTGGATTTGGGGAGTTTTGAAGCACTCTATGATTCCTTACCCCATGTTGTTTGTCTTTCCTTACAGCTATGACTAGTTCAACCTCACAATTTTTAATCTTGCCCTATCCCAAGGACAAATCTTAAGGTGAACAGGAACGATTTTAAGAACTCAGGGTAGTTGGTAAGCATAAAATAGTAATATGATTTACTGAGCAAGAATTATGCTGAGGGCTTTGTATATTCTCAGTTAATCCTAGCATCACCCCTACAAATTATATATCATTCATCCAAATGCACACAAGAATAGATGATTCTTTAACTATTCATAATGTACATTTGAGAACGTTGAAAATACATTAAGGCACAGCCAGTCTCAAGAGACAAATTTAGTATTTGCAGTCATCCAGGAGATGAAGTATTTTAAGACAATGATGAAAATAGGGATGTATTTCAAGTAAAAACATATGAGGATGGAAGATTATGGTATAATCTGTAATATATATGTATATATGTTTACAGATACACATACATACATATATATTTATATCTCAAAATTTATTTTTAAGAACAGTGAAAAAGATGCAAAGACTACATGCCAAATCATTAACCTTGGATAGCAGAATACTAGGGTAAGGGGAAAGATACATTTTCAAATATTACTTCATAGATTTAACTTTTTGTCAAAAAAGATATTTTACATTTGTAATTTGGAAGAAAAGTTTGCTTCCTAGGTGACAAATCAATCTTGATTAGCCAGAAAACAAACCTTGACCATAAAATGGTAGAACTCATAGCTTTCCCAATATTTTACAATTAAAAATAATGATCCACTGCTCATTCAGAAAGAACTCCCTTTCATAAGTGACAGTGTAAAAGAAAACTTGAAGAAAAATCCCAATTCATTTTTTACATTATTTTAAAACATTTGTTTGAAAGGCTAGTGCATAAATCAAATATGTATTTTTTATTCTGTTCATTATGCACTTAACATTTACATATTTTATAGTTCCTCTATCTGTACATAAGTCATAGGTTTTATTGTTAATGGTTTTCTCTTTGCTTTCCTCATAAACGTAATTGCCTGTAGCTTAGCACCCATGAGTTACCTAGCAACAAGTCAGCTCTCTAGCAAGTAAGAAATGAATGCAAACAAGGTGTTATGGAAAAAACATTCAGTTTAAGAATATTGGTGCATGTATGTTATTAAAAATCAAGATACAGCATTCTAATTTTGAGAAATGACATAACAATAGGTATTGACTTTCATATTAAATAATATTCCCTGCTTCCTTCATTCAGAAAAAAGTGGAGTCTATTTCAGACTGCACCACTGTTAACTAGGAAACTGAATATTCATATTTTCCCTGGCAGCCTGTTCATTACAGATTAGATGAGAAGAGTGTCTTGGCATGCTTTTACTATGTGGTACATGAGTTTACTAGATTAAGTTTCACTAATACACCTTCCTGACAGTGATGCATTGCTCATTTCTTAAATAGTTTTAGAATAAATGTGTTTTTTTTTTTTTTTTCAAGGAGATGTGCTTATGGTGCTGTACTTTTGAGGTGGTTAGTTTTTGTAAATACCATGAAAAATTCCACTTTGTGTTTCACATTTTAAGACTTTGATACATTTAATATTAGTATCTTTTGGTGAAATTTAACTTCTATACTTGCTGGTTATTTTCACTGGGAAAATAGATCTCCTGTTTTAGAAGTTGAAGTTCATAAAGGAAGAATATCAGTTATTAGGGAAAAACTACAATTTCTTAGGATGGTCATTTATATGATAAATAGACTGAGGTAGGAAGGGTAACACATGCTGGCAAATACCTTTCACCAAATAGCAAGGCTTCTATTTTATGCCAGGGACAGAAGTACTTGGCCCTTATCAGTTTGAGAGGTAGCTCACTAAACTCCAAGAAATCTCGGAGCCCTGTAGAAGACTGAGGTAAAGGACTGCAGGATGGGATGTGGCCGGAACATATGACTGCGCATTTAAAATGAATGCATAGCATTGTAAAACTAGAAAGCATCTGCTCCCTGGTGGAGATACATGTGTTTGGGGTTTTTTTGTTTGTTTTTTTTGGGGGGGTTTTTTTGGTTTTTTTTTTTCCCCAAATGCCTTACGTTTGTATTCACTTGTAAAATTTAACCTTAAATGACTCTGAATTTTTGCTCCAATCACAGTTAGAATGTGAGTTTAACTATGAGTTCTTTCTCTGTCCTCCCAGAGCACCCTTCACCAGGGAAGGTGGGGGATAAAAATCATGAGACCCTTAAAGAGAAGTCTAAACACTCGTAAGGTGATAGTTGGATTTGGATTTCTTCTATAGGTGAAAAGCTTGGTTACTTATGTGATTTAGATTAAAATGAGTCACCAGAAATAAATGAAGAAAGAATATTCTTTACATGGTAAAGTCATCAAAAGATACCTAGCTACGATGGGATAGAATGGTTTTATGGAATTTACACTCAAAATGTCATAGAGTAACATGGTTTATCTGTAAAGAAGCTACACGTCATAGCTGGAGTCACTGGTCAATTTCAGAAAGACGGCTTTTTTAATGTGGTATATGCACATAACTGCCCCTTGCAACACAAACCTCTCAATGGAGTCATACTGTTGAAAAGCATCCTTCATTTTGGGAGGTTGAGGTCCTGGAGGACAGGGATAATCTTAAGTTTTTATCCAGTATTTGCTATAGTACGTTATACATTATAACATGCAACAAATAATCTTTTTTTTTCAATTAGCATTAGGAGGTATGTCAGAAAGATCCATAACAGTCACTCCAATTATATTAAAATAACCTAACCTATATAATATATATTATAAAAAGATCAAACACTTAAAATACTGTATGCCCTTGTGGAGAAAATGTTCAAAACTCTATTATAGGTATACATTAATTACCAGAAAATTATTGTAAAAGTATAAAATTGATCTAAAAGAAACTGTACTTGTTATTGCAGGTTTGGTTACAAAAGTACGGCTACCTTCCACCGACTGACCCCAGAATGTCAGTGCTGCGCTCTGCAGAGACCATGCAGTCTGCCCTAGCTGCCATGCAGCAGTTCTATGGCATTAACATGACAGGAAAAGTGGACAGAAACACAATTGAGTAAGTAATGGCTCCCACCCTCCTTTCTCTTGGTCTTTGAGCCAAACTAAGTAGTCTGGAATACTTTATATGAATTCCACCAACCAGAAATGGAGTAATTTGTCTCATGAACTTTCTTTGGAATTATATAACCTAATTTAACCCCACTCCTCCAATATTTCATAAGATATTTAAGGCCCAATGTCAGGTTTGCTTACCTGATTTTAGCAACATAGTTTCAAAGTAGTAAAGAAAGTATGAATGGGAGTTGAGGTAGGTGCACAGTTGAAGCCACTACAAGAAGAGCGACTATGAGCAACAGAGTTGTGTTGTGTGGCTGAGAATATATTGTACACATTGCTTCCCAAATCTCTGTTCATTGGTATCATATTAGGAGCTTGAAATTGGCCAAATGGAAATATCTACACCCTGGAAACTAGGAAACAACACAAATTAGGGCTTTTATGTTGGGTAGGAGGGGCAGCATCAGGGAGCCAGTTAACCGTTTACTAACTCCCCACTGCTGATGGTTCTAAATCAAAAAAAAAGATTTTCACTGCAAAGTTACTTCTTTCAATTTCTTGTTATCAAAGGACTCTTCTTATTTTTTAATAGTTTTGCTTTTTAATGATTGGCTCATCCGTCATTCATTTATTCATCTCTTTATTGAGTTCTTTATCAGTGAAAGATAAAGCATGTACAGATTCAGAAGGCATAATCTCTTCATCAAAGGAGCTTAATTCTTATCTTCTGCATAGATAAACATAGTCACAAATGCTATTACCACAAGTACACAGTAAGGTCGTAAGATTATGAAACAACAGCATTACTTTTCTGGACAGCAAAGGGAGAAGTGATTAATTTTTTCAGTGGAGAGAAAAATCATTTGTGTTTTTAGAATCCTTGATATTCACAAAATTTACATATTTTTGTTCCTTAGTTTGATCATGGTACATCAACCCTCCACAATAGGACAGACAAGCATGCATTTTTCTCTCTGCTTTCTCAAATAGAGGAACTAAATGTCAAAGGCTAAGTGAACTGCAGAGTAGTTGCAGAACCTCTTTTAACATTTGATCTGGGGAACTTGCCCTGCTATATACCTTGAGAAAAGACATACTGTTTTTCTTTTTAAACTTTAAATACCTGGATTATCTAGACTCAGACATACTTAATTAATTCTGACATATCAAACTAATTTAATACATAATTTTGAAATTTTGCCATCTAATGTTTGCAACATGATGTTAGTCATAATTTTTCTATTTCATCAACACAGGAAAACCTTTATAAATGATAAAGGCTTTGAGATTAAACTTCAAAGCAGTTTGAAAACATAAATACATTACCTCCCCTAGTACTTTTGAGAGATGCATAAATATTAACTTTGATCTACATCTTGGAAAACAGAATCAAGAATAAAAAGAGTGTATTCTGCCACAATTAGAAATTTGTTCTAAATACTGGGAATAGAGTTTTGATAGTTTGGACCTGCTGTCCTCTAATCACTGCAATATTTTAAGTCTATAATATTTTAAGTCATAATATGCCCTTGTCTTAAATAAATATAGTTTTAAGTTAACAAGCAAAAGCCTCCAGCAAATCCTGTGTTTTGTTGCCACGTATAGTACCAAATTCCATTTAAATTGTACTCCTCATCACAGCATTTTACGAAGTGCTGTGGACAACGTTCTTGTTCTTAATGGAGAGCTGTTAGCTTCTGATTCACTTTCTTGGAAAATATGATGCAATTCATAAAAATACAAATAAATTGAGGACTTGGGAAACAAATTAGTTCACATTGTTTGAATGTCTAACTTGACTAGTGCCAGAATAATAAGGAAGTATTACTAGTTATTACTACTTATTACTAGTTATTAAATTTAAGGAAGTGGAATCCTAGAAAAGGTACATTTGCACCAGTTTTGTGAGCTCCTGTTGGTCATTGGAAGGACTTGGGATGGAAAGGTTTGTTTTCAGAAAGCGGCTGGAGGAAGGTTTTTGTCAGGAGGTAATAGAAGAGTAATGTGCACAGGATTCATTTGGGCCCTTCGTGTGGAAAGGGGTCTCAACAGTTTGCTGTTCTCTGGCAGGAGGATGTAAAAAATGTGGAGGGGTAGAAAAGGACACGGGCCTTTTTTGGGGCACAGAGTGGCTCAGATTCCAGACCAGTAAAAATGATGGTGTCAGTGCATGGGAGTTAAAGTAGCATTTCTGTGATAGAGCATCACAGAGAAAAGATCAACTATGTAGGCAGCCCATAATTTAAAATCAAAGGAACTTTTCTGCTTGTTTGTTTTGGTTTGGAGCTATTTTGCTTTTGGTTTTGAACAAAGCCTTGTTCTAATTCAGGTTTGGATTTTTCTTGGTGTCTTTTTAGGAACTAGTAGTGCGTCTTTCTCTTCAGAGTGTTATACCTGGCAGTTATTTCTAGGTGAAACAACTAAAGCCTTGTTAACTCCGCCTCATCTTCCCTTCCTAGCCTGCCATGCCTCCTCTGCTCCCTGTGTCTGCTTGGAGACTTCATTCTCATTGTCACTTGAACTAGAAACTTGGTGACTTCATTTGTTTCCTGCCTTTTTTTTTCTACTGTCACATCTCTGCTCTTAAGGTGGTACTGCTCAAGGTATTCAACTGAAAGAGTGTACTATTTTTGGAAGTATAATCCCCATCATCATGATATTAAAGCTATCATCTGTGCTTTTGTAATCTTGAATGTGTGGTAACAATCCATGCTGAAATCACACTCTGTTATATTAGGGTCAAATTATAAGATATGAATTTTTCTCTGACACTTACTACATAAAATATGGACTATAGTTATAGATCTGAATTATTCCTTAGTATTAATATAATGTCTTAACCATTTTCGATGCTATAAAATCTTACCTAATTTTAGACTCTTGTCAAGATCAATTGTTTTTATATTAAATAATTATATCCTTTCTTGGCAGATAGATATGTGATACATTGAATCTGTAATTATTGGGTAATTAAAAGTAATGATGACTATTGCAGTAATCCCTATATTATGTTGAAGAAATTACCCATTTTCAAAAAATAAGGTATTACCTTAAATGTCATATTATATTGCTTTAATATTAATTAAAAATGGTATTAGAGATCATAATAAATACTTATTCCCTCCCACAGAATGAGTTCATCAGTGATTCTTTTAAATTATAGATGCATAGCTAATTTTTATAAGCAAGCTCCCTTAAATTTCTTAATTAATGGAGTAATCTGTATTATACATAAAGTGTATATATTTAGCAAGGAAACAAAAAAATAGCAAGGCAATAAAGAAAATGAGTCTGGTATGTTTTATAATTTTAATAGTAATTTTTTTCATATTAGTTTATCTTTTATATGTGCACAGTGGCATGCACTCAAGTGTGCTTGGTGAAATGTTTCTTTTTAAAATTATTTTTAATTATTATGGGTATATAATAGTCCTATACATTTAGAGGGTACATGTTATGTTTTGGTACAGGCATACAGTACATAATGATGAAATCAGAGTAGTTGGCGTAGCTGTCACCTCAAGCATTTGCCATTTATTTGTGTTAGGCTCATTCCAATCTTATTCTTTTAGTTAAATATGCAATATATTGTTTTTAACTGTAGTCACCCTAGTGGACTATTTACTACTGTCTCTTATTCATTGTATCTAACTATATTTTGTACCCATTAGCCACCCCTTGTCTTTATCCCCACCTCCCTCCTATCCCCCCCAGCCTCTGGGAACCATAATTCTAGATAATTCTAGTCTCTGTCTCCATGAAGTTCTTTTTGTGTGTTTTTTGTTGTTGTTGTTCTTGTTTTTGTGGGTTTTTTTTTTCTTTCTCCCACATATGTGAGAACATGCAATGCAGTCTTTTTGTGCCTGGCCTATTTCACTTAACATAGTGTCTTCCAATTCTATCCATGTTGCTGCAAATGACAGGGTTTTATTTTTTATGGCTGAATAATATTCCCTTGTATATACATACCACATTTTCTTTATCCATTCACACACTGACAGACACTTGAGATGATTCCATGTCTTAGCTATTGTGAATAGTGCTGCAATAAACAAGGGAGTGTAGATATCTCTTCAATATACTGATACCCTTTCCTTTGGATGTATGCCCAGCAGTAGGATTGTTAGATCATATGGTAGTTCTCTTTTTAGTTTTTTGAGGAACCTCCATAGTCGTCTCCATTGTGGTTATACTAATTTATATTTCCATCAGTAGTGTATAACGATTCCCCTTTCTTCAGATGCTCCCCAGCATTCATTATTGCCTATCTTTTCGATAAAAGCTTAACCAGGGTAGGATGATATTTCATTGTACAGAAATTTAACTTAATTAAAATTTATTTAAGGTTGAATAAGTAGTTTTTTCAAGTCATTTCAATGAAACTATGTGATATTTGGACTCCTAATTTGATAATTGAAATATTTATTTAGATGTACCAAGAACTCCAACATTTTTGGCTTATCAATATGTTTTATGATTATTCTTTTGTCTAAATTGCCAAGGGAGTATTCTCTATCTTCTTTTTCAGTTTGGATATAAAAGATATGTTCTTGATCAATTGATGTTCTTCTTTTTATTTCTGAATATACCCATGGCATTAAAACACTATCACGTTATAGGATAGGTCAGTCCATGTTTTGGTGGCAGCAGAAAGAAGGTTGATAGCTAGTGAGCAGGGACCTTAGATTCCTGTTCTGAAAGAATTGGAAGAATTCTCTTCAAAAGAATTTTCAAAAAGTTGAAAGAATTGGTACGAGCTGACACTGAAATTGTGTTCACATTGAAGATCATGGTGGCTTAATATACTTTTGTTCTTGCTCAGGTATTTAGGTACTTTAACTTTGCCATTGCAATCTTGTGAATAACCTGGGTGTCTATACAGGCAGTTAATGAGTCTGTAGAAAAAAGAAACTCTGGACTGGAATGACCTGTCAGCCACAATATTTTTAGCCCTAAGTTAATTTGCTTTTAAAAATCTTTCCATTACAACTGGACTTG